TATTACTGGTAAGTGGCAGATACATACCTTCGTGGAATCGATGATCGCTTATAATAGCCCTGGTGATGTGGCTATCGCGCACTCCGCGTTTACTGATACATGCTACGGCTAACGAAAGTATGTACAGATCGTTTTTGAAATATCCTCTTTCATGACCCCTGGCTAGCACACGCAGAGTACAATGGGTAAAGACACTTTTCAATCTACGCGTTAGTGTGCGAAAACCGAAATATCTTAACTCGCGACACCACGTCAGTGAATATAATCTCGGGTTTCTAGGTGTATTCAAGCGACGTGTCTTGACGAAATCGAGGATACAATCGCGAATATTTCCCAAAGATGACATTTTTTTTTTCTTTGCTTAGAGCTGGTGATTGCTGTAAGTGATCAGACTAACTGCCAAGACGTCGTGATACGAACTAAAACAGGGTACGTCTAGTCCGCGGACGTCTTACAGCCGCGGCGATATTAATTTCAAAACAACACCATACGATGGATTCAGCTGAATCACCAAAAAATGTCACGATTTTCTTATAGGATCGTTATTCGTGGAAAATCAGATAGAAAAGTTTTAATCGTAAAATAAATTATGTATTACTGGTCGCCCGTTCGCCGATCACGAAATACGGCGTATCCATGATACGGAAAAAACGGTATAGAGATGTTGCGTTGGAAGCTGCAGCGATCTGCTGACGTGCACCGTTCGAGGTTGCATCGGCATCTCGCCATCGTAGTGTAGGGTTAGAGATACGAATCATACTACTCTGTGTACATACGTTTTTTTTTACTTTATTTATATTTATCAATTACAATCAACTGGTGCCAGCAGATTACACCAGTCTTTTACAACATCGAACTCACATGGGTTTTTTTTTACTTTATTTATATTTATCAATTACAATCAACTGGTGCCAGCAGATTACACCAGTCTTTTACAACATCGAACTCATCGATATCACCACCGATAAGCTGTACGCGGATATCTTTTCCGTCACGGTCATTCCGCAGCAGTGTTTTGCCGCTCTCGTCGCGAAAAATTGCCGTACACCGTATATGCCTGATGTTGCGTCGGGATGCTGTTCGTGTGTCCATTGCGTAGTACGCCAAATTGTTCGATCCTTCAGCATACTCCCCCTCCTCATCGTTGTAAACGTCGTGGGGTGTATATGTTTCCCACGTATCGTCGAGTGCCTCTAGGTACGCGTAAAGACCGCCAGGCATGCTGACCACGCTTGTTCGGTATTCCTTATATTTTAGGTGTGGTGGACCAT